CCCCAAAACCCCAAAACCCCAAAACCCCGTAGCTGATCTTCAATTGAATTTTGAGCATGGCCAATATTTATCAATGAAAATCTAAACTTATGAATTCTTCATAAATTTGAAACACTTCATCCAAAGATATGGTATCCCATGCTTCTGGGTTTGTAAGACAATGAACAAGCTTGAGGAGAAAATAGACTCACAATTTCAATAGTATAATCACTGAGAATAGGCATGAGCTTCCATTTAGCAACGAGGCTTATGAAATATTCTTTGTACATCAAGAAGATTTCTTAAATAATTTAATTAATTTCTCAAAATTTCATGTCTGACGAAGTTCTCTGTTCCAGCTATTTTTCTCATTGGGCCTTGTGATGTTGTCTAATATTGTCTTAAAGATCAATGAACCAGCCGATCTAAGAGTTTCTCTTGTTATTAACATTTATCTTGTCAATTTGTCCTGAAATCGGATTAATTTAGAGTTGAATAATATTTAGGTTTCACCAAAATGTTCAAAGTTTGAAACTTATATTGCGTTTGCGAGCAAGAAGCATGAAGAATGAAAGATAAGTCAATTATTTTCAAACCAAAAGTAAGTTACTCCATTTCCTCTTTTATTTCATGGTATCTTTTCTGCAACAAGAGTAATCAACTTTTAGCAGTTTGTTTGATTTGTTTGCTAATCGTGAGTTAAAATCTTTTTGTGCACATTTTTCTATCGATTATGGTCGGGTTATGGGCAAGTATATCATCCAATTTTGAACTGCCAATATATTGAATTCAGAAGATAGTCATTTTGAAGCGCCGCCTCCCAAATATTCAGAGATAATTACCTCTTTATGCTCAATCATGTCAATCTGAACACAAATTTTTATGAAACTTATGGAGTGAGCAACAGAGTAGTTATTACCAGAGTCTTATGATTTCGATTCTGCTGCTTATTTAGCTGTTCGTAAGAGGATTCAGTCCTCCTTTTATGAAGATGCTTAATCAAGTTCTTGTTAATCCAATAATTGTTTCCATTTAGACCTTCATCATACAAATATTTTGAATCGACTTTAAATACTCTTGAAATTAGAGAGTTAGTGAGGTTCGATACTATCTTGAGAATAAGCTTGGCTCAGTTCTTAGCTATTAAGGCCTCAGTCTAAGGATTAGGTAATTAAGCTAGATTAAGCGTATTTGCTTAACGAATAATAGATCTAATGAGAGGAGCCTTCATATTCATAATATTCTTATTTCTCTTTTGTTTTCTCGTGCTTTGTTGTAACTTTGCTTTTTTGTTTTTTACTTACAATGGAGCTGGACAATGAGTCCGATAGAGTATCTCTAAGCTTGACAGGTCTGTAGATTGTTCTCTGGCATGGCCAAAATATAAATCCTCTGTTTTTGTTGCCTTTTTGAGTTAAAAACTGTAATAAAATTAATGATGATTTGTCTTCGCAAAATAGCTCCATCATGAATCTATCAGGCTTGAACGTATCCTTAAAAGCTGATTAAATCACTTACAAGTTGGTATGGTAAACATACCAGGCTGGAGACAAGCATACCTCAAAATAAAGATACAGCTAAGAGATGGCAAGCACCCTTATTATTTGAATCATGTTAAAACTGAGCATCAAATTTCAAAGTAGATTGACTTTGAAACAAATAGATTTTGGATTTTCAAAGTTTTTGTTCTGACTGTTGACCTCTATCTCTTATATTGTCATTCAATCTTGATCAGACTTAGTCATAATAAGACTTATTGCAATCTCGACCAAATTGTGAAGTGTTATGAATAACCTAAAATAATGTGAGTAACTTTTCGAATTTCGGTTCTTTTGTAGGAATCGAAAAGTCATAAATCTTCTCAAAATTCAAAAAAAATTTAAAACCTGTAAATGGTGAAACCTCCAGACGCTCTAGCAACTTGAAGTTGTCTGAAATTATACCAAAATAGTCAGGAGATCTTAGTTTATGTTCATTTTTATCAAAGTGGGAGTCTGATCAACATTAATAGATTTGACTCTGCAATACTTCAGTCAATCGATATCTCCCATATGCTGAACTTGAACTTGACGTAAAGATTTGTCAACCAAATTTCAGAGTGGAGGATGGAGAATCAAAGATGAGACTTTCGATTATAATAAACTTCTGTGAATTCACTGAGGCCATAACTAGGAGATCATTATTTTGCATATATTCTAAACGTTTCACCAAAGTATAAAATATCAGTTAAATCTCAGGGTTGTCATCGCAAGAAGTATTAATAATGAAATGGTGACATAGAGATACTAGTCTAAGCTGATGCTCAGATTGAGACTAGCTCTCTTCCAGCCACATTGTTTGCACTTCTTTGTCTCAGAGAAAGAACTCTTAAACTCTATTTGATTTTTAGTCATGTTTCTTTTTGAATTCAGTGATAAATATGCTCATTAAAATGAGGAGAGTAATCTTGATTTTACCTCAGAAATTCTTTCTGACTAAATCAATCAGGTGAAGTCTAAACCCTGCTATACTCAAGAGGCTTCATTGTATGGTAATATACGATATGATTAACTTTCCTCTCTGCTTATTGAGTTAGTGCAAAGATTATGTAGCATGTTAAACTTAAGTTAGATTGAAGTCAGAGATATAATAACTTAGAGCTTGGCTGCCAATTTCAGTCAGCATTAATGTTAATATCATTTATCCTGATCGTATCCATTCAAACTCAATAGCTTGTCATTATATTGTCTCGGATGTACAAATCGCAAGTCTTCCTGTCAGATGCTAAGTATGAAATGTTCCGAAACTTCGATCCAAAAAGTCGAACAAGTTGTCCAAGAACCTGCTTGCATATCAAACTGCAACCAGAGAGTGTTGCAATGTTTCAAAGTAAACACATAGCTTGCATAAAAAGTTACATCATCCAGAAGCTGACAGTTTCATTTAACATTGCCGCATGCTGTTATGTGAGCGATTTCTCGCGATAACAAGTCGGTGTTGACGAACCCTGCCAACAATTATCATGGCTTGCATGTAGAATCACTCACAAAGACAAGGTCTTGCAGTAACAATACTCAGAAACTCATGATATTCAGATGTTCACCAAAGTGATGGCTTCTGAGTACAAGCGAAGAATGCTATTTAAAAGTTAAATTTATTCTTCATAATAATAAAATGAATTTTCTAAACTTTGACAACAACGTAAACTCTACTCCATTCTCAATGTGGAGTTACTCAGACATTGTCCAGGAGCTCAGTTCGGTGTACTGAATGGGCCACTTGAGCGAGCAGGTGCAAGAGTCACAGAATTATTGAGCCCTCTCAGCTCAAGAATGCCAAACTGCTCCTTATCCTTATGCAGATGGAGTCGAACCTTATGTAGTTGCATCAGATGCAAAGACCCAGTTAAGTTTTACAAGTGGCCAAGCCATGCCAGAAATCAAGAATCTAAAGACCAACAAAAACCTCGAGTCAAAGAAACGAAACTGTCGCTCAAACAAGCTTGACATCGCACAACAACTCGTGAGCTTAAGATGGAGTATCCTTAATAACTATGTGACTGGGTTTACATCATCATCGAAGAAAGCCAAGAGTGCCCACAAAAAGCATCTTAGAAGACGTTCCAAATACATTGGAGTTTCGAGAAACAACGCCAACTGGCAAGCCCTCATCAACATTGATCAGATCAAGCGCTACATCGGCACATTTGGTGAAGAACTACAGGCTGCCAGAGCTTATGACTTGTACTCAGTGGCAATGAAGGGCGAGGAAGCTTCACTCAACTTCAACTACAGCTCTGAAGAAATGCTGGAAAGAATTGATTATTTCCTGGAGCACAACAGTGTGAAATATGACTAATAACCATAATAATATCTAACAAGTTCACCAAGTATCCATTCAACTTGCTCTCAATCTCCTGGGGTTTTGGGGTTTTGGGGTTTTGGGG